CCAGTGTCTCTCAGTGTCTCCCCGTGTCTCCCAGTGTCTCCCCGTGTCTCCCAGTGTCTGCCAGTGTCTCCCCACGTATCCCCGTGTCTCCCCGTGTCTCCCCGTATCTCCCAGTGTCTCCCCGTGTCTCCCAGTGTCTGCCAGTGTCTCCCCACGTATCCCCGCGTCTCCCAGTGTCTCCCCGTATCTCCCAGTGTCTCCCCTTGTCTCCCAGTGTCTCCCCGTGTCTCCCCGTGTCTCCCAGTGTCTCCCCGTGTCTCCCAGTGTCTCCCCGTGTCTCCCAGTGTCTCCCCGTGTCTCCCAATGTCTCCCCGTGTCTCCCAATGTCTCCCCACATCTTCCCCGCGTCTCGTCCGCCCTCGTCGCTGTGTTGCAATTTCCCGAACACCACAAACAGCCTCAACTCCACCAGGCTGGGGAAACACGAGGGCGGAGTGGGGGGGGGGACGAGTGGGGGGGGACGAGTGGGGAGGGGGCGATTGGGGGGGGGGGGGGACGAGTGGGGGGGGGGGGCGAGTGGGGGGGGGGACGAGTGGGGGGGGGGACGAGTGGGGGGGGGGCGAGTGGGGTGGGCGAGTGGGGGGGGCGATTGGGGGGGCGAGTGGGGGTATGAGGGGGGGGGGGGGCGAGTGGGGGGGTAGACGAGTGGGGGGGCGAGTAGGGGTACGATTGGGGGGGCGAGTGGGGGGGGGACGAGTGGGGGGGGGCGAGTGGGGGGGGACGAGTGGGGGGGGGGCGAGTGGGGGGGGGGACGAGTGGGGGGGGGGCGAGTGGGGGGGTAGACGAGTGGGGGGGGCGAGTAGGGGTACGATTGGGGGGGGCGAGTGGGGGGGGGGGGACGAGTGGGGGGGGGGGCGAGTGGGGGGGGGACGAGTGGGGGGGGGGGGGGGGTGAGATGTTGACAGCGAGTTTGAGTCCCAATGACGAAATCACGACGGGGGTTGTGGTTGGGTGACTCAGGGAGTCCATAATGGCCGTGTCACGTTGAGGACACTGAGCCCAAACACAGCGATTATCACGCAGAGAGCCACAAACTCACAACACAGAGAGCCACAGACTCACTCATAGAGAGCCACAGACTCACCACGCAGAGAGCCACAGACTCACAACACAGGGAAACACAGAGACCCACAGACTCACCACACAGAGAGCCACAGACTCAACACAGAGACCCATAGACTCACAACACAGAGAGACACAGACTCACCACACAGAGACCCATAGACTCATCACACAGAGAGCCACAGACTCACAACACAGAGACCCATAGACTCATCAGACAGAAAGCCATAGACTCATCACACACATACCGATAGACTCATCACATAGAGACCCATAGACTCACCACACAGAGACCATAGACTCACCACACAGAGACCCATCGACTCACCACACAGAGACCCATAGACTCATCACAAAGACCCATAGACTCACCACACAGAGACCCATAGACTCACCACACAGAGACCCATAGACTCATCACACAGAGACCCATAGACTCACCACACAGAGACCCACAGACTCACCACACAGAGACCCATAGACTCACCACACAGAGACCCATAGACTCATCACACACATACCCATAGACTCATCACACAGAGACCCATAGACTCACCACACAGAGACCCATAGACTCATCACACAGATACCGATAGACTCACCACACAGAGACCCACAGACTCACCACACAGATACCCATAGACTCATCACACACATACCCATAGACTCATCAGACAGAAAGCCATAGACTCACCACACAGAGACCCATAGACTCATCACACAGAGACCAACAGACTCACCACACCAGAGACCCACAGACTCATCACACAGAGACCCATAGACTCACCACACAGAGACATAGACCCACACAGAGACCCATAGACTCACCACACAGAGACCCATAGACTCATCACACAGATACCGATGTTTTTGTTATTTACCCTTCGTAGCCCCGTGCCTGTGGGGTCTGATGGTGAGGGGGGATCTGATGGTGGGGGGTGGGGGGGGTCTCACGCTGGCACCCAGAGTTGACTCACGATAAGGGAGAGTGCCGACAAAGAGGGGGCCGGTGGGGGCGGGACGGGGGGGGAGAGATTTGAATGAAGAGAGAGAGAGAGATGACGACACCATCATTTGAACAACTAAACTAAACTATTTTTTAAAATTGATTTGAAGCTTTCGTGACCGCAGGAATCCATACGCTCTGGTTCTTTCGGTAAAGTCACGTGGGTAGAAAATAAAATAAAACGGCAGACATCGCGTCTGTCGTGATTTTCACCTGAAGACGGGCGCTTGTGTTGCGTTCGAAACGTGATTTATTTTATTTTATTTCTACCTATACGTGACTTTAGCGAAAGAACCAAAGAGTTTTTATTATTATTTTATAAGGTCCGCTGAGCTGTTCCGTTGCTCTTTTGCAGAAGCGACCTGGGCCATGGATGACAGCTCAACGAAATTGGCTCACCACGTGGAAATGTGCAGCACCAGCAGCAGCCAAATAGTGTAAACGCGCGACGTTGATTCTAAAATGTGGAGGGAAACCCGGAGGACCCCGAGAAAAATCCACGCGACCACGGGGAGAGAGATAGAGAGAGACACGCAGACTCCAAATATACAGGAGCAGCAGGCGGTGTCAGGGTCGGGATCGAACCCACGACCTCCTGCATACCAGACGAGGTAGTCAACATCTCCTAGCCACCGTGATGATGATGATGAGACAGAGACACGCAAACTCCAAATATACAGCAGGCGTCAGGGTCGGGATCGAACCCACGACCTCCTGTAGACCAGGCGAGGTAGTCAACATCACGCCGTACGTCGCTAAACGGAGGTGAGGGGACCCCGAGTCGAACCCTTACCCCTGACGCTAACCCTCGCCTCTTCATGTGACCAATACTCCATGTGGTCTGCATATTTTATACTGCTGGAGCTATATAAGCTGAGCGTGTGTTTGTGTCTGTGTGTCTGTTTGTGTGTCTGTTTGTGTGTCTGTCTGTTTGTGTCTGTGTGTGTGTCTGTCTGTTTGTGTCGGTGTGTGTCTGTTTGTGTCTGTGTGTTTTTGTCTGTGTGTGTGTCTGTCTGTGTGTGTCTGTCTGTGTGTGTGTCTGTATGTGTCTGTCTGTGTCTGTCTGTGTATTTGTGTCTGTGTGTGTGTCTGTCTGTTTGTGTCTGTGTGTGTCTGTTTGTGTCTGTGTGTCTGTTTGTGTGTGTGTCTGTATGCTTGTGTCTGTGTGTTTGTGTCTGTGTGTGTGTCTGTGTGTTTGTCTGTGTGTGTGTCTGTGTGTTTGTGTGTGTGTGTCTGTTTGTGTGTGTGTCTGTATGCTTGTGTCTGTGTGTTTGTGTCTGTGTGTGTGTCTGTCTGTTTGTGTCTGTGTGTGTCTGTTTGTGTCTGTGTGTTTGTGTCTGTGTGTCTGTTTGTGTGTGTGTCTGTGTGTTTGTGTCTGTGTGTGTCTGTCTGTATTTGTGTGTCTGTGTGTGTCTGTCTGTGTGTCTGTGCGTGTGTCTGTGCGTGTTTGTGTTGTGGGGAGCGGTAGTGTAAACTCCACGTTCGTATGCCAGGGGGAAAGGCCTTCCAAGCCCGCGACCGCTATTGGCGTGTACAGTATTCCATTTAAATGGGCACGGCTGGCTACGTACGGTGCGAAAGAAGTTGAACATACATTCAATATATAGACACAATTACAAAGATCCCCCGTGTAGCCTTCATCGACTGTTGGGGCAAGTGCTGCGAGCGAGCAGCACAAAAAGATGGGTGGGTGGCCAGCACCACGCCCGGCCGCCTTTGTCTCCCCACTGCTGATTTTTACACACCGCACCGGATGACTCACTTAAGGCCGAGTCGACCTAGGGGAGTACTGCACACATATATAAAGACAAAGATGCCCCCGTATAGCCTGCACAGACTGTAGGGGCAAGTGCTGTTAGCGAGTACCACGCCCGGCTACACACACAGACACGCAGACGTATCCACACCATTCATGCACCTGTGTGTGTGTCTACAATGTGATGTGTCGGTGTGTAAAACCACAGCATATGATTTGTAAAACCCGAACCCATCACCAAAAAACCTCGTCACCGCACCTCCGATTGGCGCGGTCGGCTACGTACGGTGTGAAAGTGAAGTTCAACATACAACATACATACAACATGCTTACAACATACATACAACACGCACACAACATACAACACACATACAACATACATACAACACGCACATAACATACATACAACATACATACAACATACATACAACACGCACACAACATACAACACACATACAACATACATACAACACACATACAACATACATACAACATGCTTACAACATACATACAACACGCACACAACATACATACAACACGCACACAACAAACATACAACATACATACAACATACATACAACATACATACAACACGCACACAACATACATACAACATACATACAACACGCACACAACATACATACAACACGCACACAACATACATACAACATACATACAACACGCACACAACATACATACAACACGCACACAACATACATACAACATACATACAACATACATACAACACGCACACAACATACATACAACATACATACAACACGCACACAACATACATACAACACGCACACAACATACATACAACATACATACAACATACATACAACACGCACACAACATACATACAACATACATACAACACACACACAACATACATACAACATACATACAACACGCACACAACATACATACAACACGCACACAACATACATACAACACGCAAACAACACGCACACAACATACACGCGTACCCAAAGCTCATCGCATTTGCTAATAACACTTCGACCTTAAAGGGGGGGGGGGTAAAGAATAAGTCGACGTTTCGGGCAACGACCCTTCTTCATGGCACACAGCTCACGTGATCCCACAGGTAACGCGGCGTCACCCACAAAACCCCCTCTCCCCCATCAAGCCAGTCCCCTCCATCACCATCCATACCTCTGAGTATCGTATTCCCATCACGATGGTGGCGATGGTTGTTTGCTGGTGATGTTGGTGGTGCTGATGGTTATTGGTGGTGGTTGTTGCTGGTGGTGTTGGTGGTGGTGTTGGTGGTGGTGGTGTTGCTGGTGGTGTTGGTGGTGGTGATGTTGACAGCAGCGACGGCGACCACAGAGTGACTGACTACTCCCTCCCGCATCCACCAATTTCCCCCGGCCCCTACCCCCACCCCCTCCAGCCCCTCCCCCCACTCCCCCCCAGCCCCTCCCTCCACTCCCCCCAGCCCCTCCCCCTACTCCCCCAACCCCTCCCCCCAGCCCCTCCCCCCACTCCCCCCAGCCCCTCCCCCTACTCCCCCAACCCCTCCCCCTACTCCAACCAGCCCCTCCCCCCACCGGCTCCTCCCCACTCCCCCCAGCCCCTCCCCCCACTCCCCCCAGCCCCTCCCCCCAGCCCCTCCCCCCACCCCCCCAGCCCCTCCCCCCACTCCCCTAGCCCCTCCCCCACTCCCCCCAGCCCCTCCCCCCAGCCCCTCCCCCCACTCCCCACAGCCCCTCCCCCCAGCCCCTCCCCCTACCCCCCCAGCCCCTCCCCACTCCCCCCAGCCCCTCCCCCCAGCCCCTCCCCCCACCCCCCCAGCCCCTCCCCACTCCCCACAGCCCTCCCCCCAGCCCCTCCCCCCACCCCCCCAGCCCCTCCCCCCACTCCCCCCAGCCCCTCCCCCCACTCCCCCCAGCCCCTCCCCCCACCCCCCCAGCCCCTCCCCACTCCCCCCAGCCCCTCCCCCCACTCCCCCCAGCCCCTCCCCACTCCCCCCAGCCCCTCCCCCCACTCCCACCGGCCCCTCCCCCTACTCCCCCCAGCCACTCCCCCCACCCCCCCCAGCCCCTCCCCCCACTCCCCCCAGCCCCTCCCCCAACTCCCCCCCAGCCCCTCCCCACTGCCCCCAGCCCCTCCCCCCCAGCCCCTCCCCACTGCCCCCAGCCCCTCCCCCACCCCACCGGGCTCCTCCCCCACCCGCCATCACCGCGGCCCCGCCCACAGCAGCCACACGAACCAATCAGCAGCCGCCGGGGCCGAGCAGCGCCACACCTGTGTGACGTCACGCAGGTGAGTGAGTTTATTTCCCACGTGGGCGGGTCAGGTCGCCAGCCCCTCCCCTCGAGCGCAGAGGCCCTGACCCTGGGGGGGGGGGTGCGAGATGCCCCTTCTGGGTGGAGCGAGACACGGACACGTTTAAATGTCGATTTAAAGCTTTCGTGACTGCAGGGATTCATCTTCTTGGTTCTTTCGGTAAAGTCACGTAGAATGGAAATAATAAAATAAAAATAAAACATAATAAAATTTCGATTTAAAGCTTTTGTGACTGCAGGGATTCATCTTCTTGGTTCTTTCGGTAAAGTCACGTAGAATGGAAATAATAAAATAATAAAAATAAAACATAATAAAATTTCGATTTAAAGCTTTTGTGACTGCAGGGATTCATCTTCTTGGTTCTTTCGGTAAAGTCACGTAGAATGGAAATAATAAAATAATAAAAATAAAACAATAAAATTTCGATTTAAAGCTTTCGTGACTGCAGGGATTCATCTTCTTGGTTCTTTCAACCCAGCTTATAGATATATGCTCCAAGCACGTGTGCTGTTTCATTCAGACGCTGTCGCCTCGACAGACCTGGTTTCACCTGAGGACGGCTACTTGCGTTGTGGCCGAAACGTCGTGAGAATTATTTTATTATTTTATTACTTCCCTTCTACGTGACTTTACCGAAAGAACCAAGAAGACGGACACGTTTATTTTCGAAGGCAAATAATCGACAACACAAATTAGGGGCCGTCCATAACACGGCGTCACAAAAAGTCAGACCCCCCACCCCTCAAATGACGTCACAAAGCTCTGCCCCAAAAACCATATTTCCATTTTGAATATAAAACATGCTTCAAATCGCTTTAAACTATTGTCATTGTAGTGCGTATTTAATGCGGCGCTGCACTCTGATGTTGTAGGAGAACACATTTATTACAAAGTTTATTTAATTAAGTAGAACGTGTTGTCTATTTATTTAAAGTTGCGCATTTGATGTGACGTCACATTTCTCACCCCCCCCCTCGTCACACATCGTGACAAATGTCTGACCCCCCTCCCCCCCCTAGGTGCGTGACGTCATTTATGGACGACCCCTTAAACACGGGCACGTCAGTTACAACTTACATTGTTCCATCAAACCCCTGTGTGGGATTGAGGACCACTGCTCTAATGGAACATCTGGCTGGGCCTGCCTACGATCCATCCTGGGTGCAAACCACGGCTGGATTGTGTGAGGAGCTCACAGATCCTTGAAAGATCTGGACGCAAAATGATTAATCTTCGTCTCTTTGTGTGAGTTAGTACGAGTGTGAGTGTGTTAGTGCGAGTGTGTGTGTGTGTGCATGTTGGCACAGTAGGGGGCACAGGTGGTGCATCAGCCGGTCATCTCGGTCATCTCAGTCAGTCGACCCGTGGCACCTGCTGGGTCTGCCCCGTGACCTCCTGCCAGCAGGCGTTCGACACTTCACGTGGCCTCAAGGTGCACGTGGCCTGGCACAAGCATGCGTCGTGGTGACGTCACCGCCACCTAGTGGCGAATGGCGGTTGTTGTTGTTGCATGTTGGCACAGTAGGGGGCACAGGTGGTGCATCAGCCAGTCATCTCGGTCATCTCAGTCAGTCGACCCGTGGCACCTGCTGGGTCTGCCCCGTGACCTCCTGCCAGCAGGCGTTCGACACTTCACGTGGCCTCAAGGTGCACGTGGCCTGGCACAAGCGTCGTGGTGACGTCACCGCCACCTAGTGGCGAATGGCGGTTGTTGTTGTTGCATGTTGGCACAGTAGGGGGCACAGGTGGTGCATCAGCCAGTCATCTCGGTCATCTCAGTCAGTCGACCCGTGGCACCTGCTGGGTCTACCCCGTGACCTCCTGCCAGCGGGCGTTCGACACTTCACGTGATAGCCTCAAGGTGCACATGGCCTGGCACAAGCGTCGTGGTGACGTCACCGCCACTTAGTGGCGAATGGCGGTTGTTGTTGGCACAGTAGGGGGCACAGGTGGTGCATCAGCCAGTCATCTCGGTCATCTCAGTCAGTCGACCCGTGGCACCTGCTGGGTCTGCCCCGTGACCTCCTGCCAGCGGGCGTTCGACACTTCACGTGATAGCCTCAAGGTGCACTTGGCCTGGCACAAGCGTCGTGGTGACGTCACCGCCACTTAGTGGCGAATGGCGGTTGTTGTTGTTGCATGTTGGCACAGTAGGGGGCACAGGTGGTGCATCAACCAGTCATCTCGGTCATCTCAGTCAGTCGACCCGTGGCACCTGCTGGGTCTGCCCCGTGACCTCCTGCCAGCGGGCGTTCGACACTTCACGTGATAGCCTCAAGGTGCACATGGCCTGGCACAAGCGTCGTGGTGACGTCACCGCCACTTAGTGGTGAATGGAGGTTGTTGTTGTGTGTGTTGGCGGTAGTGTAGCGGTTAGCGCGCTGCGCTGCGCTATGAACCCGGCGACCCGGGTTCGATTCCAGCTCACGGCCAATACCGGTGACGATTATCTGAACCGGTCCTGGGCCTCCCCAAGGTCGACTCAGCCTCAAATGAGTACCTGGTGCGGTCTTTAAACATCGCCACTGGGGAGACAAAGGCGGTCGGGCGTGGTGCTGGCCACCCACCCCCTCGTGTACCATTCTGGCCTTGAAAATTTTTGCTAACAGTACTTGCCCCTACAATCTCAGGCTCCACGGGGGATCTTTTTCTTTGCATGTGTTTGCCATCCCAGTCAACCCGTGGCACCTGGGTCTGTCCTGCCAGCGAGCCATCACACACTTCATGCGACGGGCTCAAAGTGCACCTAGCCTGGCACAATCACCGTGGTGACCAGAGGCTGTCACTCCTCTGTCGTGAGCTGGAGCTGAGCGGTATTACCAGGATCCATTTGGATCACGGAATGTCCGGTGGACTGGTTCTGGCACCAGTCATCACGAGGGGACAGTACTCCTCCACTCGTGGCAGGAAACCGTCAGACAGGGAGTGGCTCTTCTTCTGAACTAAAAAATGACAGGGGGGAGGGGAGGGGAGGGGGCGTGGGGTCTTGGTGGTGAGATACGGGAAGCCGCAAGCCGCCAGGCTACCTTGGGCTCGCCTCCCCATCAACAGGAGGCGAGGAACGGTGGTGGGGGTGGTGACTCACACCCGAACCAAAGATGAACATCGGTGGAGGGATGCAGGCGAGGCTGATGAGTCAGATGGCTTTCTAAGGACCTCCCGTCACAGGTGCTTGCTACAGGGACCCTTCGGGATAAACTCGTTCCATTGGGGCCGGAGTTATTGGAAGGCCAGGGGCCAGATCAGCTCAATAACGGTAGTAGGAGGCTGCCAGACTTCTACTGCGTGGCCCATGGGCTTGCCATCACCAGCACGCTGTTCCGGCATCGAAGATGCATCGTCACCGGTCACGCAATGCCCCGATCCTCACACACGCAGGAGACATCGCGGCGGTGACGAAGATAACCCAGCGCTGCTCCCGATGCGGTGATCTGGCTTGACTACCACCACCACCACCACCCGAATGTGACATCGTAGTAATAGTCGTCGTCGCCTCTTGAGTCGCCAGCAGCCGCAGGAACGGAAGAAACCTTCGCAACGGGGACAGACGCAGAGACCGGATCTCGCCCCCCCCACTCAGTGCGGGGTCTGTAGCATATGTTGTAATAATGGGGCCCTAACTAAACAACTAATATTTCGATTTAAAGCTTTCGTGACTGCAGGGATTCATCTTCTTGGTTCTTTCGGTAAAGTCACGTAGAAGGGAAATAATAAAATAATAAAAATAAAACATAATAAAATTCTCACGACGTTTCGGCCACAACGCAAGCAGCCGTCCTCAGGTGAAGAAGTGTCATTCAGACGCTGTCTTTCTGACAGACCTGGTCTTCACCTGAGGACGGCTGCTTGCGTTGTGGCCGAAACGTCGTGAGAATTATTTAAATGGTTTATTTTTATTATTTTATCATTTCCCTTCTACGTGACTTTACCGAAATAACCAAGAAGATAAAAAAACTAATATTAAAACAGACATTTTTTACTAAAAAGTTGTATTATTTTCATTTGCTATACAGCCAGATAATACGACAAATCGCTAACCTTACACACCCAGTCGTTCGTAAAAGTTGAAGGCGGTATAGTACTATAGTAATAGAGCAAGTACAGAATCACTGAACCGGAATTGATAGCTTCAAAGCATTTAGCGCGAGGCCCTTGAAAGTGCGGGACCCGTAGCATATGTAGCTATACTCTCAGGTTTTTTCAGTAAAGTCACGTAGGTAAAAATAAAATTAAAAGTTAATAAAATAATGGAAATAAAATGACTGCATCAAGTGCAGTAATTTTTGCTGTGACGGTCCCACCTGATGACGGAGACTTTTGTTGCCTCCGAAACGTCGTGATTTATTATTTTATTTTCATTATTACTTTTATTAACTTTTAATTGAATTTTTTACCTACGTGACTTTACCGAAAAAACCTGAGAGTATGAATCCTTGCAGTCACGAAAGCTTCAAGTCTAGAATACATACATATGTAGCTACTTGTGCTACTAGGATATAATCCGGCACTGTACCCGACTCCCTACTGTGAAAGAGCTTCATAGCTCATCGGATTCCTCCAGGATTCAACATTCCGATTCTGTGACGCACACGGAGGTGAAACACTCCACTCTCGTCCACTCCGAGACGAAAGTCTCCCCCTACAGGCAGACTGTGGGGGGGGGTCAAGTGCCGTCGGTAGCGAGCGGCGAGACCCTACGAAGGCCGGTTGCCGTGAGCCACACCACGGGATGGGTGGCCAGCATCGCGCCCGGCCGCCTTTGTCTCCCCCCCCAGTGGCAACGTTTCCTGCACATCGCACCGGGCAGGAGACATCACGGCGGCGACGACGACGACGAGACGATGCACGACGACTTCCACGTCTTCTTGGTTTTTTCGGTAGTCACGTAGAATGGAAATAATAAACAAGTATAACCCGTAAAAACTAAGTTTTTCACTGTAAATCCTTTATATGAGTGGCGGCTAGAGTCCTCTCGTCCTCTGGCTTGAGATGGCTGCCACCTATGGGTCAGATGATTGCATTGCACCATTAAGCAATTGGTAATTAAATATATTTTTGTCCTAAAAAGTGTAACATTTTGGAAAACAAATTTCACGAACATTAATTGTCACGCACGAGTCTGTGTGGAAAATGTCAGCTCGATTGGATCACGGGAAGTGGGTTAAAAAACGACCGAAAGATTTGCACGGTCCTAAGCAAGCAAGCGAACTTAATATAAAGGATTTAATAAGTATAACCCGTAAAAACAAAGTTTTTCCACTCTAAATCCTTTATATGCGTGGCGGCTAGAGTCCTCTCGTCCTCTGGCTTGAGATGGCTGCCACCTATGGGTCAGATGATTGTCTGCAGTATTAAACAATTGGTAATTAAATATTTAATTTGTTTTCCCTAAACAGTGTAAAATTTTTGAATTTTTTTTCACGAACATTAATTGTCTCGCACAACGAGTCTGTGTGCAAAATTTCAGCTCGATTGGATTACGGGAAGTGGGTTAAAAAACGACCAAAAGGTTTGCACGGTCGTAAGCAAGCAAGCAAGCACGCAAGCAAGCATGCAAGCGAACTTAATATAAAGGATTTAAAAAAGAAGACTGTCTTCTCGACAGATCTGTTCTTCTTCACCTGAGGACGGCTGCTTGCGTTGTGGCCGAAACGTCGTGAGAAATATGTAAATTTTATTATTTTATTATTTCCATTCGTGACTTTACCGAAAGAACCAAGAAGATGAATCCCTGCAGTCACGAAAGCTTTCAATCGAAAGACTCCCACGTCCTCATTGACGCCGTTCCCGTTGCTTGGCCACCTGAATGTGGAATTGTCGTGGAAGCCTCTGGCATCGAGATCGGCAGCACGTGCAACTCCCCCGGCGACAGCACCACGAGCCCGACCGTAATTTAAATATGGTCTTTATTTTCGTTTTAATTAACAAAAGGTTTAAAACATGTGCTGGGTGGGTGCGGGGGGGGACAAGAACGGGTATGCGAGTTATTGGTGACGTTATCATCGACGAGTTGTCATCAATTATGTAATCAGCAACAAGTTGTCATCATCGATGGCGTTATCGACGACCAAGTTAGCATTACCGACGAGGGGTTATCATCAATGACATTATCATCGACGAGGCGTTAGAATCATCGACGAGGAGTTATCGCAGAGTTGTTGTCATCATCGACAGGCTAACATCATCATCGATGACGACGACCGAACCCACAGATCGATCGTGGGCCAAACGCCACTTCTCAACGACCCGTGTTCCACAATCACATTTGACCCGGAAACACCGTTTATAGATTCGTATTTTCTTCCAATCTTTACCCACCACCACCACTGCCACTGCCACCGCCACCAAAAATCTCCCCAAGTTCATCCCGATTTGCGCGAACCGGCGTTACGTCAAGACTGCGCGGCGGAGGACGAATCCGTTCGGAATTCTGTGGCGATGGCTGCCCGGCCCCCCTCCCCATCATCCTCCGCCGCGTCAGGCGACGTCGTGGAGGCAAGCGGACATCACAGAGCTGCCTCCGAGATCCCTTGATTATTCCGAGCGACGCTCTGGGTGGTCCACACACACGCGCGCACACGCACGCACGCATGCACCATGCACGCACGCACACACACACACACACATACGCACGCGCACACACGCACACACATACGCACGCGCACACACACGCATGCATGCACACATACACACACGCGCGCGCGCACGCACGCGCGCACGCACGCACACACAGGCACACATACACACACGCGCACACACAGGCACACGCGCACACACAGGCACACGCGCACGTATACACACACGCACGTATACACACACGCACGCACACACACATACATGCACACACACGCACACACACACACGCGCGCACACACACACGAGTAGGGGCGGGGGGGTGCCAGAGGACCTTCCCCACCACGCCGTGGCACTGAGAGTGGTGCTCGTCACGTCACCAAGTCGCCGAACGGACAAGGTTTGAATTCTCAAGAGCTGAGATGTTTGCATTCAATCGGGCACGGAACCAAATACAACGTCAGGGGATTCCTGCGGCATCAGTGGTGACCGGGTTGAGGCCTCCCACTCGCACGAGACTTGATAACCCTGTGAAGTTACAGCCCAGTTGATGCAAGTCTACGAGTCTGTGTGTGTATCTCCACTTATGTGGGTCTCTATGTGAGCCTCTGTGCGAGTCTACGGGTCTCTGTGCGAGTCTACAGGTCTCTGTGCGAGTCTACGGGTCTCTGTGCGAGTCTACGGGTCTCTGTGCGAGTCTACGGGTCTCTGTGCCAGTCTACGGTTCTCTGTGCGAGTCTACGGGTCTCTGTGCGAGTCTACGGTCTCTGTGCGAGTCTACGGGTCTCTGTGCGAGTCTGCGGGTCTCTGTGCGAGTCTACGGGTCTGTGTGAGTCTACGGGTCCTCTGTGCGAGTCTGTGGGTCTCTGTGCGAGTCTACGGGTCTCTGTGCGAGTCTATGGGTCTGTGTGAGTCTACGGGTCCTCTGTGCGAGTCTGTGGGTCTCTGTGCGAGTCTACGGGTCTCTGTGCGAGTCTACGGGTCTCTGGTGTTGGTGTGGTGTTGAGCAGGGTGATGGTGTGGTGCTGATGATCTGGTGTTGGTGTGGTATTGAGCAGGGTGGTGGTGTGGTGCTGATGATCGGGTGTTGGTGTGGTGTTGAGCAGGGTGGTGGTGTGGTGCTGATGGTGCGGTGTTGAGCAGGCTGGCATTAAATAGTGGGGGCAGCGTGGAAGAGATAGTGAGGCGTGGAATCGAGAGTGGTGTGCCTGGTGTGGCGAGGCTTGGTGTGGTCTGACTTGGTGTGGTACAACTTAAACACGGTGTGACATTGTGGTGGTTGTGGCCAGGCTAGCACCGCCAGCTTCATCATCACCACATCAACACCACCACCACCAACATCACCCTCCACCACCACCAACAAAACCACCACCATCGCCATCAATATCACGCTCCGCCACCACCACCGCCGCCGCCGCCGCCGCCACCGCCGCCACCACCACCGCGCGATCGATCACAGGAAGTACGGCGTGGTGGTGCGGGGCGGGATGACGCGCTCCGAGTCCGGCACGGCGCGAAACAGCCGCGGCTCCCGCGTGCTGGCGTCCGGGAACACCATGATGGAGGCGATGTTGCCGCAGCGGTAGCAGTAGTTGGGCGCCGACCAAACGGTGACGAGCTTCTCGTCGAACATGAACTTGTAGCCCTCGTGCACCAGCTGGTGGGCACGGCAGATGAGCTTCAGGTTGTTGATGTGAACGAACTGCGGGCGGGTGGGGGCAAGGGTGGGCGGTTGGGTGGGGGTGTGGGTGGGTGGGTGCGTGGGTGGGCGCGTGGGTGGGTGGGGGCATGCGTTGGTGGCGGCATGCGCGGGTGGGGGCATGAGTGGGTGGGGGCGTGGGTGGGGGCATGCGTGGGTGGGGGCATGCGTGGGTGGGGGCGTGAGTGGGTGGGTGGGCGTGTGCGTGGGTGGGAGCGTGCGTGGGTGGGGGTGTGGGTGGGTGGGTGCGTGGGTGGGGGCGTGGGTGGGTGGGCACGTGCGTGCGTTGGCACGCAGATGGGTTGTGGGTGGGTTGTTGGTGGGTTGTGGGTGGGTTGTTGGTGGGTTGTGGGTGGGTGGGTTGGAGCAGACACAAAGACAAAGGTCACCCACCCGTGTCGCATTTACCAAGAGTGCTGCGACAAGTGCTGTTAGCGAGCGCGGCAAACAAGGGGTAGGGTTCCATACTCTTTGGTTCTTTCGGTAAAGTCACGTAGGTAGAAAATAAATATTTTGTATGGATCCCTGCAGTCACGAAAACTTCAAATCAAGGAGTAGGGTGGCTGGCACCACGCCCGGCCGCCTTTGCTTTCCTAGGACCGATTCAGATCATCGTTACTGGTGTTGGCCGTGAGCGGGAATCAAACTCGGGTCGGCGGGTTCGTAGCGTGGCGCTCGCTACTCGCTACACTACGTCTCTGTGACAGCGAGGAGTGGATCGCGTACGGCAGAGCGAGGTCGGGTAGATTCCCTTTTACAGCGAGTCGCCCGCTCCACGTCCACACACTCCCCTCCCTCGACCTCGACTCACCTCCTCCTCTTACCCCTACCTCCCCTCCTCCCTACTCCTTGACTCCCCTCCTCCTCCTTGACTCACCTCCTCCTACCCCCTCTACCTGCTCCTAACTCCCCCCTCCTCAACTCACCACCTCCTCCTCCCCCCCCTTCCTCGACTCACCTCGTTGGTGACCTTTGCCCCGAACAACCAGCCGGCGCCACGGGGGCTGATGGCCCACGTGTCCACGTCCTCGGGGTCGGACCACACGAGGTCGCAGAAGGCGCCCTTGTGCGGGATCTCGATGTTGCGCTCGATGGTGCGGATCTGGTCCAGGGTCTTGATGTCGGGCGAGAGGCCCCCGTGCACGCACAGCACCTGCTCGTCGATGAGCTGCGGGCGGCGCAGCGCGCACAGAGGCAAAGGTTCACCACCACCACCCACCGCCACCCTTCACCACCACCACCACCCTTCACCACCACCACCACCCGCCGACAACCGTCACCACCACCACCACCACCACTCGCAAACCGTCACCACCACTCGCCGCCACCCTTCACCACCACCACCACCACCACCCTTCACCACCACCACCCTTCACCACCACCACCACCACCCTCACCACCACCACCCTTCACCACCACCACCACCCACCGCCACACTTTACCACAGCCACCACCACCCACCGCCACCACCCGCCGCCAACCGTCACCACCACCACCACCACTCGCCGCCAACCGTCACCACCACCAGAACCACTCGCTGCCAACCGTCACCACCACCACCACCACCACTCGCCGCCAACCGTCACAACCACCACCACCACCCACCGCCAACCGTCACCACCACCACCAGCCGCCACCCTTCACCGCCGCCGCCGCCGGCGCCGCAGGGGCAGCTTCTGACAACGGACTGGTCGGTGGATGAGTGGGTGGGTAGGCGAGTGGGTGGGTAGGTGAATGGGTCGGTCGATGTGTGGGTCGGTAGGCGAGTGGGTGGGTAGGCGAGTGGGTGGGTCGGTAGGCGAGTGGGTGGGTAGGTGAGTGGGTGGGTGAATGGGTGGGTAGGTGCGTGGGTCTGTACTTGAGTGGGTGGGTCGGTAGGCGAGTGGGTGGGTAGATGAGTGGGTGGGTGAATGGGTGGGTAGGTGCGTGGTTCAGTAGGCGAGAGAGTGGGTAGGTGAGTGGGTTGGTAGGTGCGTGGGTAGGTGAGTGGCTGAGTGGGTAGTTGAGTAGGTGAGTGGATGGGTAGGTGGGTGAGTGGGTCGGTAGGTGAGTGGGTGGGTAGGTGGGTGGGTGGGTGAGTGGGTGGGTGGGTGAGTGGGTGGGTGGGTAAGTGAGTGGGTCGGTAGGTGAGTGGGTGAGTGGGTAGGTGGGTGAGTAGGTGGGTGAGTAGGCGAGTGGGTGGGTGGATAGGTGAGTGGGTCGGTAGATGAGTAGGTGAGTGGGTGGGCGAGTGGGTGGGTAGGTGAATGAGTGGGTGAGTGGGTGGGTAGGTGAGTGGGCGAGTGGGTGGGCGAGTGGGTGGGTAGGTGAGTGGGTGGGTAGGTGAGTGGGCGAGTGGGTGGGCGAGTGGGTGGGTAGGTGAGTGGGTGAGTGGGTGAGTGGGTAGGTGAATGAGTGGGTGGGTAGCGGGGCACTCACCGCGGCCACGGTGAGCATGTCGAACACCTTGGTGCAGTAGCGCCACGCGTTGGCGTTGCCGTACTTGGTGAGACACTCGTCTGCGTGGAGACATGGGGATCACGCACAGACAAAGGTTCCCCGTGTAGCCTACTCAGGCTGCTGGGGCAAGTGCCGTTAGCGAGGAGAAGGCTGACGTGGCGCACGAGGTGGGGGGGGGGGGGGGTGTGGCCGGCACCACGTGCATGCCGATGTTTACACAAAGATCCCCCGCGTAGCCTCGCAAAGACTGTGGGGGCAAGTGCTGTTAGCGAGCAGTAGCACCTATTAAGGTCGGCACGGATATTTAAACCGGTCCTGGTGGCCCTCCCCCTAGCGGCCTAGGTAGACTGTGTGTTAGTGGGGGGCTGTGTGTTTGTGTTAGTGGGGGGCAATGTGTGTGTTGGTGGGGGGCTGTGTGTGTGTGTTAGTGGGGTGCTGTGTGTGTGTTAGTAGGGGGCCGTGTGTGTGTGTTGGTGGGGGGATCGTGTGTGCGTTAGTGGGGAGCCGTGTGTGTGTGTGTTAGTAGGGGGACGTGTGTGTGTTAGTGGGGCGCTGTGTGTGTGTTAGTGGGGCGCTGTCTGCGTGTTAGTGGGGCGCTGTGTGTGTGTCAGTGGGGCGCTGTGTGTGTGTTAGTGGGGCGCTATGTGTGTGTGTCAGTGGGGCGCTGTGTGTGTGTTAGTGGGGCGCTGCGTGTGTGTGTGTCAGTGGGGCGCTGTGTGTGTGTTAGTGGGGCGCCGCTCGTGTGTGTGTTAGTGGGGCGCTGTGTGTGTGTTAGTGGGGCGCTGTGTGTGTGTTGGTGGGGCGCTGTCTGTGTGTCAGTGGGGCGCTGCGTGTGTGTGTTAGTGGGGCGCTGTGTGTGTGTGTTAGTGGGGAGCGTGTGTGTGTCAGTGGGGCGCTGTGTGTGTGTGTCAGTGGGGCGCTGTGTGTGTGTGTCAGTGGGGCACTGTGTGTGTGTGTTAGTGGGGCGCTGTGTGTGTGTTAGTAGGGGGAGCGTGTGTGTGTTAGTGGGGCGCTGCGTGTGTTAGTGGGGCGCTGCGTGTGTGTGTTAGTGGGGAGCCATGTGTGTGTGTGTGTGTCAGTGGGGCGCTGCGTGTGTGAGTGTGTGCGGCTACACTGACCGTAGAAGCCGTAGACCTGTGTGATCTGCCTGGACTCGTGGTTCCCACGCAGCAGGGTGATGCGGTCGGGCCAGCGCGCCTTGAGCGCCAGCAGGAACGTGAACGTCTCCAGACTGTAGTAGCCTCGGTCCACAAAGTCTCCCTGCAAGGCACAAGGACAAAGATCCCCCGTGTAGCCTTCACAGACTGTAGGGGCAAGTGCTGTTAGCGAGCGCCTATGAAGGCCGGCACGGCACACGAGGGGGTGGGTGGCCAACACCGCGCCCGGCGATGTTTGCACATCGCACCGGGTACTCATTTGATGCCGAGTCGACCTAGGGGAGGCCCAGGACCGGTTCAGATAATCGTCAGCGGTGTTGGCCGTGAGCGGGAATCCAACTCGGGTCGCAGGCTTCGTAGCGCAGCGCGCTAACCGCGACACTACCGCTCCCCAGCAGATACACACACACACGCGCGCGCAAACGCGGATATACATGCAAATACGTACGCAGGTACACACAGTAGACAAAGATCTACCCCCCTCCCCCCCCAGTATAGCCTTAACAGACTGTTGGAGCAAAGTGCTGCAAGGGAGCTCCAGACACACGAGTCAAGACATATACACGGTCAAAATGCTGCGTGGCAGGCGTGGGTTTTGAAGGCTTTGCGCGACCAATATCATCCATAATACAGACTTTTCTGGGTTCGATCGCAGAAATATTTACGCAATCTAACCCCAAAAAAACGTGTATTCTCGACGTTGATTTGCGGGACTGTTGTCCGTCCGCCCTGGCCGTTTCCTTACGACGGAAAACAATCCCGGCGAGCTCCGTGGGCCGAGTCCGTGAGTCCCGGCTGTGGGTGCTGCCCCAGGCGAGGTGGGGGCTGGGGGGAGGTGGGAGCGGGGGGGTCTGGGCTGGCTGCCCCCCCCCCTCCCCGCGATTGACTCACCATGAAGATGTAGTTGGTGTCGGGAACCTCACCCCCTGTCCGGAACAGCTCCTTCAGGTCGTAGAACTACACACGGGGAGGGGAGAGGGGACGCGCACACACAAAGATCCCCCAGACAGCCTCAGCAGACTTTCGGGGCAAGTGCTGTTCGCTATTAGTGCCTATGAAGAGACCGGCACGGCCAACGCAACACCCGGCCGCCTTTGTCTCCCTGGTGGCGATGCTCACACATCACACCAGGTACTCATTTGAGGCTGAGTCGACCTAGGAGAGACCCAGGACCGGTTCAGAAAATCGTCACCGGTGTTGGCCGTGAGCGGGAATCGAACTCGGATCGCCGGGTTCGTAGCGCGGCGCGCTAACCGCTACACCACCGCTCCCCCCACCAACACAGTCACACACACAGCGCGCGGGATCGATGTGGTGTGACGTGTGTCGTGACGTGCAGGCACCTGTCCATGGATGTCCCCGCACACCGTGACGGGAGTTGACACGGGCTGCACGTTGGACTCCTCCAGCAAGAGGTCGCACACATAGTCGCAGAGGCGCTGCGACACACACACACACAGCGTCACACACACACACAGCGTCACACACACACACAGCGTCACACACACACACAGCGTCACACACACACATAGCGTCACACACACACACAGCGTCACACACACACACAGCGTCACACAGCGTCACACACACACACAGCGTCACACACACACAGCGTCACACACACACACAGCGTCACAGACACACACAGCGTCACACACACAACAAAGGCAAAGTTCCCCGTATAGCCTTAACAGACTGTTTGGGCAATTGCTGTTAGCGAGTACCTATGAAGGCCGGCACGGCACACGACGGGGTGGGTGCGGCCAGCACCACACCCGGCCGCCTTTGTCTCCCCAGTGGCGATGTTTACACACCGCACCAGGTTCTCATTTGAGGTCGGCCCCGGATCGGTTGAGATAATCCGTCACGGGTGGTGGTGTTGGCCGTGAGCAGGAATCGAACTCGGGTGGCTGGGTTCGTACCGCCCTACCTACCGTACCCTACCAGGTCTACCTACCGCACCCTACCAGGTCTACCTACCAAACCTTACCAGGTCTACCTACCTGACCCACCAGGTCTACCGACCAATCCCTACCAGGTCTACCTACCGTACCCTACCAGGTCTACCTACCGTACCCTACCAGGTCTACCTACCGTACCCTACCAGGTCTACCTACCGAACCCTACCAGGTCTACCTACCGAACTCTACCAGGTCTACCTACCGAACCCTACCAGGTCTACCTACCACACCCTACCAGGTCTACCTACCAAACCCTACTAGGTCTACCTACCGCACCCTACCAGGTCTACCTACCAAACCTTACCAGGTCTACCTACCGTACCCTACCAGGTCTACCTACCGAACCCTACCAGGTCTACCTACCGAACTCTACCAGGTCCACCTACCGAACCCTACTAGGTCTACCTACCGAACCCTACCAGGTCCACCTACCGAACTCTACCAGGTCCACCTACCGAACTCTACCAGGTCTACCTACCGAACCCTACCAGGTCTACCTACCAAACTCTACCAGGTTTACCTACCAAACTCTACCAGGTTTACCTACCAAACTCTACCAGGTTTACCTACCGAACCCTACCAGGTCTATCTACCGAACCCTACCAGGTCTACCTACCGAACCCTACCAGGTCTACCTACCGCACCCTACCAGGTCTTACTACCGAACCCTACCAGGTCTACCTACCGCACCCTACCAGGTCTACCTACCGCACCCTACCAGGTCTACCTACCGAACCCTACCAGGTCTACCTACCGAACCCTACCAGGTCTACCTACCGAACCCTACCAGGTCTACCTACCGAACCCTACCAGGTCTACCTACCGCACCCTACCAGGTCTACCTACCGAACCCTACCAGGTCTACCTACCGAACCCTACCAGGTCTACCTACTGAACCCTACCAGGTCTACCTACCGAACCCTACCAGGTCTACCTACCGCACCCTACCAGGTCTACCTACCGAACCCTACCAGGTCTACCTACCGAACCCTACCAGGTCTACCTACCGAACCCTACCAGGTCTACCTACCGAACCCTACCAGGTCTACCTACCGCACCCTACCAGGTCTACCTACCGAACCCTACCAGGTCTACCTACCGCACCCTACCAGGTCTACCTACCGAAGCCTACCAGGTCTACCTACCGAACCCTACCGGGTATACCTACCGAACTCTACCAGGTCTACCTACCGAACTCTACCAGGTCCACCTACCGAACCCTACCAGGTCTACCTACCGAGCCCTACCAGGTCTACCTACCGAACCCTACCAGGTCTACCTACCGAACCCTACCAGGTCTACCTACCGAACCCTACCAGGTCTACCTACCGAACCCTACCAGGTCTACCTACCGAACCCTACCAGGTCTACCTACCGAACTCTACCAGGTCTACCTACCGCACCCTACCGGCCGCCTTTATCTCCCCCAGTGACTACAGTATATTTATCTCTCACACGTAAAGACAAAGACCCCCCGTGTAGCCTCCAAAAGTATGTCGGGGCAAGTGCTGTTAGCGAGTAGCAGCACCTATGAAGGCCGGCACTGTGGCACACGTAGAGGGGGGGGGCAGCACCACGCCCGGCCGCCTTTGTCTCCCCCCCCCCACACAGTGGCGATGTTTACACACCGCGTACTCATTTGAGGCCGAGTCGACCTAGGGGAGGCCCAGGTCCGCCTCAAGATAATCGTCACTCGAGCTCGGCTCGCCGCGCTCCCAACTCCCACACACAAAGACAAAGGTCCCCCGTGTAGCCTGTGGCGGACTGTCGGGGCAAGTGCTGTTAGCGAGTAGCAGCAGCACCTATGACGGCTACCGGCACTGTGGCACACGAGGGGGTGGGTGGTCAGCAACCACGCCCGGCCGCCTTTGTCTCCCCAACGCGGCGAATGTTTACACACCGCAACCGCGTACTCATTTGAGGCCGAGTCAACCTAGAGGAGAGGGGGTCACCCGTGTTGGCCGTGAGCGGGAATCGAACTCGACTCGCGCTAACCACTATCCCACCGCTCCCCACAACACACAGAGAGACACACACAGAGAGAGGACACGGAGACCCTCACTCGCGTCTCTTTGCCCGCTCCGCGTGTTCTCTCCGTGTCCCACCCGCCGCCTCTCACCTTGAGGTCGTTCTCGGGCAGGTACTTGCACTGCCTGGCGATGTCGATGTACTTGTCCAGGTCCAGAGGCGCCATCTTCACTCCTTCTCCTCCTCCTACTACGACTCCTACTACAGGCCGCGGCTGCCGGGTTGCATTCCCTAGTACGGATAAGAGTAGGGGGTTTATATTCCACAGTGCGGATAGGAGTGGCGGTTTATATTACGTAGTGCGGATAGGAGTAGGAGGTTATATTACCTAGTGCGGATGGGAGCAACGGTTGGATTCCATAATGCACATAGGACTATGGGGTGTAATTCCCTAATGTGGATAAGAGGGGATTATATTCCCCAGTGCGGATAGGAGTGGGGAGTTTATATTGCCTAATGCGGATAGGAGTGCGGGGTTTATATTCCATAATGCGGATAGGAGTAGCGGTTTATTTTTGCAAGTGCGGATAGGAGTGAGGGTTTATATTACGTAATGCGGATAGGAGAGGGAGGTTATATTACCTAGTGTGGATGGGAGCAATGGTTGGATTCCATAATGCACATAGGACTATGGGGTGTAATTCCCTAATGTGGATAAGAGGGGATTATATTCCCCAGTGCGGATAGGAGTGTGGAGTTTATATTGCCTAATGCGGATAGGAGTGCGGGGTTTATATTCCATAGTGCGGATAGGAGTGACGGTTTATTTTTGCCAGTGCGGATAGGAGAAGGGGGTTATATTACGTAGTGCGGATAGGAGTAGGAGGTTATATTACCTAGTGTGGATGGGAGCAATGGTTGGATTCCATAATGCACATAGGACTATGGGGTGTAATTCCCTAATGTGGATAAGAGGGGATTATATTCCCCAGTGCGGATAGGAGTGTGGAGTTTATATTGCCTAATGCGGATAGGAGTGCAGGGTTTATATTCCCCAGTGCGGATAGGTGTGGGGAGTTTATATTGCCTAATGCTGATAGGAGTTGGGCGTTCATATTCCCCAGTGCGGATAGGAGTGGGGAGTTTATATTGCCTAATGCAGATAGGAGTGGGGGATTATATTCCCTAGTGCGGATAGGCGCAATGGTTGGATTCCATAGTGCACATAAGGAGTATCGGGTTATATTCCACAATGCTGATAAGAGTAACGTTTATATTCCCCAGCGCGGATAGGAGTAGGGGGTTTTATTACCTAGTGCGGATAGGCGCAAAGGACTGCATTCCATAATGCACATAGGAGTATGGGGTTATATTACCTAGTGCGGATAAAAGTAATGTTTAATTCCCTAATGCGGATAGGAGCGAGGGTTTATATTACCTAGTGCTGATATGAGCAATAGGTTGGATTCCATAATGCAGATAGGCGTATGGGTTATATTACATAGTGCGGATGGGAGTTGGGTTTATATTCCCTAGTGCGGATAGGAGTAGGGAGGTTTATATTACCTAGTGCGCATAAGAGAAGATGGTCACATACCATCATGCAGATATAAATAGGGTTTACATTCCCTAGTGCGGTTAGGAGTGGGTTTTATATTCCTTAATATGGATCAGAGTGTCGTGATAGATTTTCTACAGTAGATAAGGCAATGGTTTTATGTATCTCAGAATCTTTATTTAGGCTGGAGAAATCCGATGAACAATGAAGATCTTTTTCGAGTCAGAAAGTTACAGTAACAAACGATAGCTGTGCAATGTAGAGAAAAGGGGAAGCAATATACTATTCACATATAAGCATAAATAAAGTACTCAATATAAGGGGCCGTCCATAAATGACGTCACGCACCTGGGGAGGGGGTCAGACATTTGTGACGATGTGTGACGAGGGGGGGGGGGTGAGAAATGTGACGTCACATCAAAATGCACAACTTAAAATAACAACACGTTCTACTTAATTAAATATACTTTTTAATAAATTTTTCTCCGACATCAGAGTGCAACGCCACATTAAATACGCACTACAATGACAATAGTTTAAAGTGATTTGAAGCATGTTTTAGTTTTTTTTTGGGGGGGGGGCAGAGCTTTGTGACGTCATATTTGAGGGGGGGTCTGAATTTTTGTGACGCCGTGTGACGAGTGGGGGGGGGGGGGTCAAAAATCGTCCAAAATCGCGTGACGTCATTTATGGACGACCCCTAAGTACAAATTGCATAAGTTAATTCCTGATCATGTTTTTAAAACACTAAATGCAAGCTTGAACAAGACCACATGTGCAGATAAGAAGCAAGCAGTCTAAACCACAATACATTTAAATAGATATATAATCTTTGATTTAAAGCTTTCGTGACTGCAGGGATTCATCTTCTAGGTTTTTTCGGTAAAGTCACGTAGAAGGGAAATAATAAAATAATTAAAATAAACATAATAAAACAAAATGAATAAATTATTATGTTTTTTTATTTTACACAATACATTTTTTTTTATTATATTTATTTTTATTTCCCTTCTACGTGACTTTACCGAAAGAACCAAGAAGAGATATATAATCGGTGACGTTTCGGGCAATAGCCCTTCTGCAGAGCACGTACAATGCTCGTCACACACAACACACGGTAGGGGGCAGTGTAGCTCCACGCGTGAGTGCGGCGTGGGGAGCGGTGGTGCAGCGGTTAGCGCTACGCTACACTACGAACCTGGCGGCGCGAGTTCGATTCCCGCTCACGGCCAACACCCAGTGACGATTATTTTAACCGGTCCTGGGCCTCCCCCTAGGTCGACTCAGCCTCAAATGAGTACCTGGTGCGGTGTGTAACATCGCCACTGGGGAGACAAAGGCGGCCGGGCGTGGTGCTGGTGACCGATCACCCCCTCGTGTGCCGTGCCGGTTGCCTTATGATGTGCTACTCGCTCACAGCACTTGCCCCAACAGTCTGTCAAGGCTACCTGGGGGATCTTTGTCTTTGGTGTCGCAGCGGTTCGCGCACTGCGATAGGAACCCGGCGACTCCGATCTCGAGTGTAACGCTCACGGCCAACATCAGTGGCGAGTGATGTTCGAACCGGCCTCCTCTAGGTCGACTCGACCTTAATTCGAGTGACTGGGAGTTTCAAGGACGACGTTTATATTACCAAAAGCATATTTGTTTGCACGCTTTACCACAATTATGTAACAGGATATATGTAACAGGATATATGTTACGGGATATCGGTAGCGTTCAATGTTAAATTCTCCCATAGCGTTCAATGTTCCAGTCTGTCACGGGATTCAATATTTCAGTTCATACTGGTAAGAACCTCCTGGTTACACCAGCCCACAGGGGATTATTGTGTCCGTCGTGCAGGGAAGGGCTGGGTGGGGAGTGAGGGGCTGGGTGGGGAGGGGAGGGAGGGGCTGGGTGGGGAGGGAGGGTGGGGAGGGGAGGGTGGGGAGGGGAGGGTGGGGAGGGGCTGGGCGGGGAGGGTGGGGGGTGGGAGGGGTGGGGCTGGGTGGGGAGGGGCTGGTCACCCCGTGGTGCCCTTATAAAACTCAACGTTTAACCTACTCACGCCGGCTTGTCCCCGCCCTCACAGTCGGCCATATTTGCAGAATACACCACGCCGCCGTTGACCCTGGCCATTGACCGAGCAACCCAACGTTCCTACCAGCTCCCTCCGCAGGAATGTGTTAAAGTGACTACGCGCAACAGAAAAATCATGGAAGTCTTCCAGAAAAAGCACCGCATTTCAACGATGTGTGCAAAAATCCCAGTGTGATGCAAGTCAAACAATAACAACCATAAGACAATGTAGATTAAAGTTATCAGGTTAACTCTGTACAACAACAAGCAAATATGGCTAATCCAATATTAAAGTCCCCCATTGCGTTCAATGTTCCAGGACATCATAGCGTTCAAGGTTAAAGTCTCTCGTAGGAGTTTCACAGCCCATCTGCGTGTGGTTCACCAACCCTCGCTGCTGCTGCCACCCAGAGCGGTTGACCACCACCACCACCACGTGGTCACGCCACGTGCCGGGACTTCGTAAGCTGCTCGCTGACATCACTGGGCAATTTACAATTGTAGCCCGTCAGCCCTGTGCCTTCTATTCCTCTCCGTGAATCCTTTCGAGGTGGTGGTGGGGGAGGAGGGGGGTGGGGGAGAGTTCGGCTAAATAGACAACAACAACAACGAAAGATAAGAAAAACAATCAAGTTCGAAGACAGCGAGCAGTCGTGCGCTGTGCGCGGGCGTGCGACTTGACAAAATTCAGCACCACGGCAAGAATTTGATTCCAAGAGCCTTCTTCAGAAGGGGGCAACTTGCTGCGTCGATCGAGGCGAACGCTCCCTCGAGGTCACAACACCGCAAATTGAGTTCTCCTGGGCGAGTAAACTTGACGCAAACGAAATCAACTGCGCGTGTTGTTGTTCATTCCCACCAATAACTCGACAGACGAGAAATTCGGGAAATTCCCCGTCGGTCGACGCGCATTCAAATTGATGTCGATTTGAGTTCCACACGCACACGTATTATCGGAACATCGTTGCATGTAGCTGACTGGTCTACACGTTATCCACACATCTCAATGCTGCGTCGCGTGCCTGCTTCTCTGCGTTGCACACGTGGGAACCGTGTGCCAACAATCTGTCATCTTAAACAGCAGTCCAAATCACCAGCATAGTGGGCACTTATAATACACGTAAGATTCGTCACGGGTCAGCTCACACCGGCTACATTATAATCATACGATGATCTCACGTCATCTTACTACTGTGCGGTGTGCTGCGTTGAACTGGGGCCCGTATCGGAATCGGCGTTTAAATTGCGGGAAGGAATCCGATTAGGTTTAAAGCTCTTTGATTTCACACATGCTCAGTTAAGGGGGCACGTGGTCAGGACGTGACAACAGCAGCAAACAATACGAAGGAAAAAAACACGATAGACGTGCAAAACATAGGAAAGGTAAACATTGTAAAAATATATACAAATACAACTTTTTTTTTCTTAGGGAACCGTCCATAAATGACGTCACGCGATTTGGGGCGATTTTTGACCCCCCCCCCCCTCGTCGCACGGCGTCACAAAAAGTCAGACCCCCCCTCAAATATGACGTCACAAAGCTCTGCCCCCCCCCCCCAAAATCATATTTCCATTTTGAAAATAAAACATACTTCAAATCAATTTAAACTATTGTCATTGTAGTGCGTATTTAATGTGGCGCTGCACTCTGATGTTGTAGGAGAAAAC